GAGTCACAAATAGAGTCGAGTTCTAAGTGTGTAACACAGGTGTGTCCTGGAACAGTCCAACACAAAAGGTTCCCTACAAGAGTGTCACGCAAGAGGGCCCCATGCCCCAGAAGAGAGTGTCCTGCACAGTGTGGCACAAGAATGTCCTACAAGAGAATCACAGTTTAACAATAATATTCAAATCGTAGTGCCTTTGGGTGCGTGGTTTCTCTAGACAAAACGAACATTGCAACATCAAACTCCTTTCCAAGAAGCTCCCTCCAGCCTCAAGCATGACGGCAGGATCTTTGTGAATTGCCTGGAGCGAGTTGTAACTTTGCCATCCGTGTAGGTGAATTGAAGAAAAACTGTTTCCCTGATTCTGAGCTGTTTCTCTGATCCTGTGAATAATATTGAATACTGACTGCAGAACAATTTGGGTCTATGTTCCTTTTCAAGTGATTGGAACCTTTTGCGAGCATGCTTCTTTCACCAAATTGTTGGGGTCCAATTGGAGCTTGAGATGATGAAATACCTGTCAGCAAAAAAAGTGTTTTCACAACTCTGTTACCAAGATCTAGCAGGATATTCTGCCTCAGTATCACCGCCCAATGCATTGAGTCGATAGGCCCCAATTCTGCAAACATATGGTCCCTCATTAACACAATTTGGGTAGTCTGGCCATGCACCCATCCGTACCAGAGAAACTTCAAACCCCAAAAGCAGTTTGGTGACCAGCACAGTTCCGTGTTCCTGTTTTGCAACCCAGCTGGTGTATGGGAGGCACGCCAAGCAAATCAAGTTTGACTACAGCTTCAGCAAGACTTGGTTCCACTCCTCCCTGTCATAAAGATTCAGCTGCGCCTTTGGGCAGTTCCTCAGCGGATCTACGTTTCGGCGGAGGGAGTCCAGCAGGGCTTCTCTCACCGAGGGGACGAACCACATCTCCTGGCTGCCATGGTGAGTCAAACCATTGATGTCCGTCCCTTTGTGCCAACTTTGTGCCACACCCACTGATAATATTTGCTAAGAACCACAATTATATACTCCAAAATGAACCAAATCGCGTGAGAGTGAGATCAATATCCTTTCGATGAATCACGACATTAGTTTTATGGACTCTGGCCCCACTTTTGGATTGTGGCTCCAGAAGACACACGCAGATCATAGATCAAATGCTGCCTGTGGAATCGTTTGCAAGGCCATCGCTGACCCTTGCAGCGCACCGATCACAACCTGTGGAGATGTGAGTTAATCATCTCCAAACTGGGCTCAACGCTTGGGGTCGGATTTATGAAGCAAGCTGTGGTTCTTGAGAGAAGGCTTGTTGGGAGGTGTAGTAACGTACAAAGGTAAAAAACTGTTGGAAGTAGAACTAGCAGCAGCCCCTCATGTAGCACAAAAGCTACAAGTACAAACAGGACAAAGCATCGCCTACTGTACTACAGTTTTGACGCTTGGACAGCCAAAAACATTACCAAACCGATCAGCATTATTCCATCGGTATCTCCACACGTTTAAGGTGTGCTTCGCTCTGCCATTGCCCTGTCGTTTGCATCCTGCTACTCGTGACAGGTTTCCAGGCACATGTTGTATTGATATGCCGAATCAAAGCATCAACATGTCAGTATAGGACCTCAAACCCAGGGCCCTATCATCACTTATCCAATCATTATATAAACACTCTTGTGATCTTTTGCGATATTTTGCGTGCTGAGACTAGCAGCAACAGCGAGTTCCAACAAAGACACTTGAGCTTGTGATTGCATCGGGTCTTAGCAAACAATCAAAGTGTTCGCTTGTCTTGTACCCCATCTCAAGAGTTGCCTCAGGCTGTCAGAAACGCTACGCATCCAGCCTCCTCATCTTTAAGAAGGTCTGCAGCTGCGTAGGTTATGGCCTGTATTCGTTCGGCGTGAGACAATCTGGGTGTTGGCTTTTTGCAGACTCTGAAGGCCTCCCAGTCCTGCTGTAGACCCGCCAGGATGACATCGCGATCCTGCACAGATTTTCTAGCCTGGAACATCAGGACTACGAGGATAGGAATACGTTCCCTTCTGGGAAAATCCGATGGCTACAAACACCTGTGACGAATCATCAAAAACTGACATGCCACCTATCCCTACTCCTGACTCCTAGGTGTTGATGTTGGGATGTGTTGGGGAAAAGAAGCTGGTAAATTTGGAAGGATCCCAGAAGTCCTTCAGCCTCGGAAAAACTCCAAAGAAGGGGCCATATATTGTGCTTGCAACTATTGCACCCTGCTTAACAATTCAACTCAAGTGGAAAAGGACGTGTACGGATGGTGATGTGTGTCCTAAGACTCTTGGATGTATATAGATTTGCCTCCAACTGTTTGGTCCTGGAGCATCTCTTTGGGGACATAGTCCAAGGCAATCCAATCCTCCAAAATAGAGTGTTCACGATTTGCTACTAGTAGCAATGCACTTGCTACTAGTAGTACAGTAATGCCCTTGTTCCTAATAGCTTCTTGCTGCTAGTAGCAATGCCCTTGCTCCTAGTAGTCATGCCCAGGCCCCTGCTACTAGTAGCTTCTTGCTGCTACTGCTAAGTCTTTGTAATTGTAAAACTCTTCCTGGACCAGCAGGCCCATTTTCACATCTGGACATCCCTGCAAAACAATCGAGGTTACGTGGTTGATTTTGGTATATCTTGGCGGCTATTATATAAGCCGTTTTCGATTCTTCTTCTTTCCCAATCGGAATACATTGTCCTTCGCACACTGCAGCATATACATTGTACATGCTAAAACACGTGCCTCTGTTTGATATCTTTATCTTTGAGAGAGTGGAGCAAACACAGAAGAAACCACAGTCTTGGTCCAGTGTTTTTGTTTTGAATTTGCTTGGAAAGGATCATGCCATTTAAACAGAACAACACAAGCGTCGAACCTGCCCAGCCTGTGTGACTGCTGCCAAGATGACCTCTTTGTCTAATCCTTGTTTCGATGATTTGTTTGCAGCTTGCAGCAACGCAACCTTTTCTGTCTACACATATCCAGGGACATGTCCAAACAATCCCTAGACTTGTACAAGTGTTAATCCTCTTGTGATTTTCCTCAGGGCCTGAAGGCTTGCATTATCCAGTTTCAGACTGCTACACAAATCTGGTTTTGGACACTATGAATGATGCAAGCTGTTGACTGACCCATCTGTCAAGATCTGTCAAGTCTTGTCAATCAGGGACTCCAAAGGAATGAGTTCAACTTCAACATCGCAGCTAACATTCTGACTCCAGAAGCAAGGCTGACAAAACTTAAATGGACTCGACTCGACAAAAAAGACCTTTCCAAGCGGCGGAGTTTTTCATCCACATGGCGCAGTTCAGGGCCCCGGAGACGAAGTGCCTTTGGTGCAATCAGTGTCTCAAACCTTGAAGACAATCGAAGACGGAAGCTGGTTTGGCTGCTTCTAGCTCATTCTTTACATCAAATGACTGAACCATCTTGGGTCCTTGGAAAGATATGTCGCATGTCCAACTGTGCAGATAGCAGTCTTCCCCGGCCTTCAAAACAAACTCTCGATCTGCCCGCTCTTCAGGCGATGCTTCTTCCAACAGCTTGGGAAGGACTTTTGGCATGCCTGAATGCTTGGTGATGCAAAAGGCGCCTTTCTGTTCTAGTCAATTATCCGAATGCTGATTGCAAATTATAACGTTTATTAGAGTTTCAATACAATACAATTCATACTTGGAAAGGAAGGTGAGGCATGGTGCGGGCGGCTACAACCTATAAAATTGCCAACACAACTAGTACAATATAGTAAACTAATGTAAACTAATAGTACAATCGTACACTGTCATGCACTCAGATTTCAAATCCTACTTGCATCTACTTGCT